TAATAATGTTATTTTGTGATTTGATTTCAAAGGCAATTACTGAAATAAAAGATTAGGGATTATGTTTTTGCCCCCTAATGACGGCGCTAAACTTGGTTCTTATTTATATAGATAATGTTATCCTATCTGAGTTAAATACACTTTGATTTGTTGAAGGAATATAAACCAAACGTTGCTTATATTTCAATAATAACTTACATTGATATAGTTTTGCTACGAAAGTTGGATTTTTTGTTGTTGTCCCATTCTTCTTCTTTCGTGTGTTAGCGCTTGTTGGTGAATACTGGGAGTTTGTTTACGTCTAACGAGGTGCATTTGATGGATGAGCATTTACCTGTCTTCCGGCCTCGAGGGAAATAATGAGAAAAGAGTCTCTTTCGCTTCGGACGTGATGATGACGAAGAGTGAGAGAAGCAAGAGAGAGAGAGAGAGAGAGAGAGAGACAGAAAGAAAGGAGATGTAATTGAAGTGAAATACCGAACAATCACCAGTTATTTTTTTAGAACGAATTACTCGCTAAGTTTTGCAGAGCTTTACAGATTCATGATTGAAGGAAGGGGGATGTTGGATGAAACGGGTTGCAAGAGAAATCTGAATAATGAAAAATGTAAACAAATAAAATATTAATTCATATGACTCTAAAGGGAAACGATATCTTGCCACGCCTGTAGCATATTAACGATATACGACCATGTCCGTCATAACGTACGGATAAGTGAACAAAGAAAACTGTGAGTCAATACAAACATGACAAATGAACGGTCAAAGTAAAGTAACTTGACCAGTTTTGAAAGATAACTCACAAAATCACCAGACCCTTTTCTCTTTAACTGATTGCGAAATGCATTAATTTATCATCAGAATTATTATCATATTTATGTTCTCACATCGTATGAACTTGGTTTTATGCGGTGACTTATTTTTCCTGTTTAAAAAAAAAAAAAAAAAAGCATTTCCGAAATGCATCATTCTCTCTCAATGTAATTGGATCTGCTCAAGGCGTTATGGAAATATTAGATGACGGATATTGTAAAAGTGAGGAAGCGTGGGTTTGCGGCAGAAGTGCAGAGTAAAATATGTAAATCGGATATACAACCATAATTCAATTCTTAATACATATATACGTAGATATTAGTTATATTCTGAAGTTTGATAATGCAAGAAAAGTTGGCACTACGCGAAAATGCATCCATTTTCTTACCAATGCTATACCATATTATGTTATTAAATAGTTTGGTTGCCAAATTCCTCGGGATTTTTAAGGATCAGTGATAATAAGTAATGAGAACTGTATAAAATCTCCCTAATCATATTCTCATCCTTTACTATGAATGTAAAGTAAGACCAAATAAAAAGTGAATCACCATCAGGCCACACCTATCCGACCTCAAAACCATCAGACACACCATGGGGACCAGACCAATGTGATGTATTGCGTGACTGGATGACGTATGATGGTATTGTGTGTATTTGGTTCTCGGAATACATAAAGGGGATCAAATCCATTGAGGCATTCCTCTGGTATGAATCATCATGATCATGCATTGTACTTCTACAGAACAAGGGATGAAAGCCAGCCGGGGAGTCCGAGAATAGTACATGTATGTTGTCAGTGCAGTCATGCAAGTCTGTCGACCGAAGGGTATATAATACATACGGTTGTAAATACGTGACGTCACCGGAGAGTTATTTTGGTGTGGCGATGTTAATATTATTGTTGATGTTATTATCATGCTCATACTATTCGGTGTCTAATTTCTTGAAAAATATATATGAATAAGTGGAAATTTTACAACAACATTAAAATATCGCTAACAAACTTTAGTTGCTAAGATAAATAAACCTACTTCAATGAGTAATATGGAGGGGAAAAAAGAAATATGCAGTCAAAAAACCTCCCGGTGTACTGGTCGACCCCACACCCTTGCCCTATCCCCACCAAACAAAATGTCATCATCGATGAATAATAAACGTAGAACTCACTCACTAATATTTCTTCGCCAATGAAAATTTCAACTTTAAATCCAGCGTAGGAAATTAATTAGCTGTACGGAAGAGAAACATAAGGTCATTTATTTTTAGGGGCACTATGCTGACAAGGGGCGGGTGAGCTCAGAAACCGTGCATAAGCCTCGCATGAATAACAGCAAATTTTCCATGGCACTTAGCAACCACTAATCAGTCAGGAAAAGTCCTCCAAACCATACTACCCACGAGCAGACATTGCCCATTGCCAACTGAAAAGGGAAGGAATCACGTCATTGCAGACCTCTGAAGCTATTTGGCATGGCCATTTGCATGTAAAATGAAAGAGTGAAAGAAATAATGGAAGAAAGACAGAAAGAGAAGAACAAAAAAGACAGAAAGAAAGAGAAGAAAAAGAAGAAGAAAGAAAACGGTATCCTGGACATTACTATCCTCAGTTCTAATACATTGTGTTGTTGTTGCCAAGAACTACGTTCCAGTGTGCCTATTGAAATGTAGAATCGATATAATTCCACAAAATGGTATATGAATTGGGATATTTTGTATCAGAAATACATCATAATATGATTCGGATCATGGATGGCTGAGAATTATGTCATGAATATATTTGAAAACGTATGCCAAATTATTTTGTGTTTTGGTTATGTTTCCACATTATCTATTTAGATCTATCCAAGTGGTCGTCAAATCTGCCTTTTGAAAGAGTGATGCGACACAGGGAGGGGGTGGGGGGTATAAAGAATGATGATTTTAAAAATGAATAAAGAGAGAGTAGGAATCAGTATACGGGAAATAAAGAGAAGGTGTGAAGATTAACATAAAGGAAACAGGATATAGGTCCAAAAGATGGCTATATGTAAATCGTGAGAGTGAGAGAGAAATAAGAGACAGAAGTAGAAAGATGGTAATATTCGGAGAGAAAGAAGAGTGAATGAAAGTTGAAACCATGCTACCAGCAGGAAGTGTATATTCATAGGACTGAGCACGATTGTGAGTCATGAAACCCGATAGGATATGGCTCCTATTCGCTCTCATATACATGTGCTTTATATATACCTCGACTTGCACTCTATAACGTCCAAAGGTTAGAACTGCATAGTATTTGCAATTCAACAAGTCAATGAGCCGAGGATGGGATGTTACTCACGACTGCATTTACCTGCTCTACTGTATGTAGGACTACCACTAGTCTTATGTGTTTGCATTATAACATGGGTTGGGCGACTTGGGTTATTTAATATATATTTCTAAAGAAGATAACGTAATTGCACTATCGGGAATGAACCATGGCAACAAAATGTATTTCATGCACTAAAAATGTGGCCTGTCTTGACACAGAGTGATTCATAAGTGTATACGATATGTTTGTGTGTTTGTACAATGAAAGAAAGTTTATGTTTATGTTGTAGATTGTTTAAATGTTGATTGAGTATTATTTAGAGGGTAGACACTCTCCTCCAACGGTGTGCAAAAGTCATGACGTCGTTCACGGCAAATCGATCCGAAAGATATTAGATTCTTTTTCTTTTTGTATAGATGATACGGTTCTTGTCTAATAGATGAGCATTATTGTACCTCATGATGTATATTTATCTTTCTCCCATCCTTTATATACATATTATATCTCCCTTTCTCTCTCTCCCCCTTTTCTCGCTCTCTCTCTCTCTCTCTCTCTCTCTCTCCTTCTCCGTCATATCAATATCTACAGTTCGCCTCTCCAATCTTTCAGAATAAACAGATCCCATCAACTTCTGAATTCAGTCACCTCATACGCTTTCTATGTCAAACCTGGGTCAATGCAATTCTGTATAGCAAAACAAACTAAACTATGACGTCAATGTACACCCACAATTGGCAATTACCCACTTGATAAATTCGCAGAAATTTTTGTTCCAAGGGTAAGGACAGATTTTTGGCAAATAACTAATATGTTGGAGCTTTAGAGATGAGATTGATCTACATATTTTGAAGGAATGAATATTGGTTATTGTTAGTTTATAAACGGTTGTTTGGGAAAAGTAAAGTTATCCACAATAGATGGAGTGTTTTATTGTATGAAAATGTATTTTGAGGATTATATACTTTGACGTATATGATATTCTCTTATAGGGGGCTTTCACAGAGAGTAACTACTCCACTCGATGTCGTCACAAAAATCAATAACGGACTGGAAATCCAGAAAGATACGATATCCCTCTCGTTTCAAATTACCACTCGTGCCAAGCTGTAAACCGAACTCGTCAATAATCATTCAATATTCTTTTAAACCTTCCTATATACATATACCCTGTTTAGAGTTACCACACGTGCTATATTGTAAATTGGATCTGGATATATCGCATTTTTTTTCGCCCCTGTTTTTTTTTAAATAGCGACTAGGAAGGCTGGTGTGGACTACGGAATAACATGTGGCCCACTATACTCTATAGCACGTGTCGTTGGGATTAATTTCCTAGAGCACGTTACTATTTCCGAACAGCACACTGTTGTGCGTCATATCAAGTGTCGTTTGATAAAGAGGAACTTGGTGAACGTGGGATAGAGAAGAAAAAGGAGATAACGAATTATAAGAAGAGACACGAATTGAGGAAGATACAAAAAAGGATTTAAGGAGAGTTAAAAAGGTATACGGAATTACGGATCGGATAGCTTCGACGAAACATTGATAATACTCAAGGACGCTGCATGAAGACTTTCAGTGAATATCTGTTATACAAAATTGCTTTCGTTTTGTCGACAAATAAGTGTTGGGTTACTTTTTTTTTATTCTCAGTTTTTCTCACCGAGTTGTTTTTGCTTGTATCAATACCAAATTGGGTTCTCACGGTTTCAACTAACGTCCAAAATGACTAATAGTCTCCCTTCTCCATAAAAATATGCTCCAGTAATTCTGAAAGAATGCTCATAGTTGACGGTTCGTCGATCGTTTACACTTCACAATATGAGTAACCCTAAAGTTCACACACACATATTTTACGCTGACTATAAAACTCCATATGAAATACAATTCATCGAGTGTTTGTCTAATAGATCTTTTCTTTTGGTTTTATTATCGACATGATAATATACGGAGTGTACGTTTACAATCAATACAAAAGTCACGTATTAGTGAGTCAGACAAGTTATATGGACTTATCAATATTATTAGCAATGTACACATGGGGACAATAAGCAACAATAAGGAGAGTAGGAGACAGATATCATATTGTGAGCAATAGAGATTACGATGTTTCACAAGGTATAAGAACATGACAGTGGAGTTTTTAAAGCGGTGTTGAAGCCACAAGATATAAGTAAATTCAACCTAACGTATACTATCATTTTTTGTATATTTCACAAGTGCACAGTGGGTCGTTTCCTAGATTCGAGACTATGTTGTGTTAACTCTACGATTATTAATTGAATCGCTTGATTCGATAACATAAAAAAGTAACAAACGTATAATTTCAATAGTGAAATGATCGTATTGTTTGAATTTCATGTTACTTTTTTAAAGAAAAAAATGTCGAACTCATGAGCCAATAATCTTCACAAAATACGGGTCAAATTGTCATTATGAATTATACATATTGCATTACAAAATCAATTTAGCATCATATAGGCCCAACAACAAATCGATCCTTAAATGGCATGGGTCAACATTAGACGCGACAGTAAAAAGCAATTGCATACAAAATAATGACCATCTTAATATTTGATTTTGATCACTTGTTTTTACTTGAATTGCAAAGAGAAATCTTGACACGGATAACACCTTGGTATCTCTGAGTCCCTCCTCTCCCCCCCCCCCCCCCACCAAAAAAAATAAATAAAAAAAGAATTTTACACACATGAGATCTCAAGAATATTCCGTAAAAAGATTGTTATCGTGTCAAGTAAAAATAAAGTATGGCAATGAATTAGCATACGACGAGTGGTGCGAATTTATCAATCATTCTTGCCTCGCTTGAAGCAAAAGTATATTTGCCTACAATGCAACTATATTCTATTTTACAGACAAGTGAAATATACATTCAAAGATATTTGAAATAATAACCAAAATGAAATATGTTTGCCAGATTCATTTACGTTGCCCGTTTTTATTTTTTTATTTTTCTGAATATTTATTCCAATACTAAATGTGTCATCACAGAGCAAACAATCTTTACTTTAATAATGAACAGCGTGACCGCAACATACAATGTAAAGCACTCTTGCTTTTACTTGTGAGTTGTTTTTTAATGATGACATGATTAAACTTTTCAATTTTGTTTGATCCCACTGTAGTATACAATGCAAACACATGAACAATAACGAAAAAGAAAATCTTTAAAAAATATTTTGCAAGGTGATAGAATTCTATTTGTTACTTTCAACAGACTATGAAAATTGTGATAAAAGAGCTTATATAGACCGGTTACCACAAAAATATATGCTATGTACATGTACAGCTGCATTAACAAGAAATATACACGAACACATGATACTGTCCAGCAGTGACGTCATGGCAGTTTAAAAGTGCATTATAAGTGGTATCACCCATTTTTAACATATGATGCACTATATACAAACAAAACACACGATTTCTAGAGGGAAAAGGTTAACAATTTGTGAAGAATTATAAACAATATCTCAGTCAGTTCTCAAAAGTCAAGAATATTCTTCCAAACGAGCTATCTAAGAATCCCGCTCTTTCTTCACTTTAACTTCTTCACCTAGGATGGTTAGAATTTCTCCCTGCATGAAGGCCCATGGAGTGTTGGTACCGGCTAACGGACACTTGGCTCCACTGGGACAGTAAACCTCTGACCCAGACCCCTGCTTCTTAATACTGTCCCTCGAGCAGGGGAAACAGAATTTGTGGTTGCTAACGGACGGACACTGGACAAAATGAGTGTCTTCGAGACGCTCATGACAAAGAGTACATTTGAGGATGTTGATCATGTGCATAGAAGAGTCAGGTAGATTGGAGGTGTTTGAGGTCACACTAGCCTCCTGGCCATGAGGAATCGTAGCCTGTGACAACTCCTTACTGCGATACATGGCTCTCCTCTGTGCAGTGGTAGGAGAGTGGGGGCTACGCTGTGACTTCTCACTGGATCCTGATGCAGGGTTGCTGGGTGGCCGCATGGAGGAAGATCCAGAATCACTCTTGTTGGTTGGTGAGGTTGGTGTGCCCAGATTATCAGTGACAGACATAAGTGCAGCCATTGGCGAAGGCCCACCATGAGAAGAGCTTCCATCAGGAGGTGTACCGGCTGAAGCAGGATTACTCATGGGAGATGTAGCAGTGCTAGGTGGACGGGAACCACTAAACCCACCTGCAGACATGGTCAGTTTGAGAGCTTCAGCCTGGCTCTGCATCCATTGCTGACGTTGTTGTTGCTCCTCCGTAAGTTTCCCTTGATCTCCTTCAGGAGGCTCTGGTGATGATTTCAGTTTCTTACTCTTGTGAGTAAACGAGCGGGAGGGATGGGTTGACGTCATGATAGGCAACACGGGGCAGCCAGCATCAATGTAAGGTTGTGGCAAACTTTCAACGCTCACCATATCCTTGAAATAGCGCACTGATTCTGGCAGAAGGTCACTCAATGGCCGCCAATCATTGGAACCATGCTTTTTCTCATATTCAAGATACTTATAACCAGAGGAGAGGCTCTTACCAATATCTTTGACACAGTCCTGATACATCTGTTTAGCGACTCCTGATGCACTAGGATACACCTGTCCTGACCCACTCGGATATTCAATATAAATTTTGACTTCATAGTCCAATCCAGGACGGTATACAGCATCAAATGCAAAGACGCGGCCTCGTAACGAATGGTCCTTCTTAAATCGCACTTCGAAAGGTGTACACGTGGACAGAGTGGCCAAGGTTTGCCGAACTGTGCTCGGCTTCTGTCCATACGGATCATCAACTACAGGTGTTACACGACGCTCACTCTCAGAGTGAGAGGATGCAGAACTTTCTTTGTCCTCTCTCTCACGATCTGCATGACTCCTTTTCGTCCCGCCGCTCCCTGGCGTGGTGGTCGGTGGTGCGGTCTTACCTGCTGCAGAAGGTGCAACGGTATGTCGTGGGGTAAACACAGCGCTAGAAACAGGAGGCGCGTTGAGGTGGTGGAGCAGGTTGGGGGCCATGTGTGGTGCAGATACTGGTGTGAGAGAACCTCGACATAAATGTTTTCCCTCTCCAGGAGCGCCTTCTTCACTGGATGGATATCCGAATTTTTGGGCTGTAGAGAAATCATGAATACTTCGGGCTCGGCTAGGTTCGTGGGTGACGAATCGCTCACCGTGTATATGTGTAGTCACCGAGCCAGGTGGATTTCTTGGCGATGGTTCAACATGATTAACATTTGCACTCTCCAAAGCAGAGGGTCGGGGCGGTACACTTACAGATTGAGGAGGCATCAATGGTATCTGTCCCGGTTTGTGTCCCTGGTAAGATTTTGTCTCCTGAAAACTATGTGCCCTCTTCATCTGACGAGCCCCTTCTAACACACTTTCGATGCGATCGGCACCCTCATAATTCACACATCCACGGCAAACGGGCTCGGAAAAATCGTGCAGCAGAGCCCATGGTGCCCGAGGTAGATCACACAGGTAACAATGCTGTCGATGCATGGCTAGGCCGTGGGGTTGTTGAGACAGCAACATGTAGCAAAATAGTTTTCACTTCACTACAATGCGTCTAAATCGACACATGTAGGCAACAGTGCAGCAAGAGAAAAACAATCGAACAGTTCACAGTGGACTACTACACAGCAGCAGTAGAAGAGCGGAGCTCCGCGTGTGATATGACTTCACTCGGTCGGGGCAAAACAAATTCTCACGCTTGTCAAAGTTCGTGGAGGTATTATGAACGAAATGTATGCGTCGTCTGCTCTTCGCTCTGGCTGGCACGTTTGTCCGTGGAGCAGTCACCGCTCCGAGCAAACAACACACAGCACTCAACCACTCTACACTGCACATGCGCATTACCCTCGTATGCTTGGCATGACATTTCAGGCATACTGATGACGTATGGGAGTGGAATGTGCAATCATAGACCCACACGCACTGGCGGAGCGGTGCCCGGGGAAAATAATCCCAGGCTGATTCATTAGCAACAGGAAGCGCGAAGACTGGGGCCTCTACGATGCCCGTGCTATTATTAAATATGTTTGGAGCGTGGGCGACAAGGCGGGCTCAGAAGACAGTCATTTAGCCAGGCAAGCCCAGTATTTTTGCTAAAAGCAAGCTCTTGCTCATATCTTTGATGAGGGTAAAAGGGTGGGGTAGTCGGGGTAAAAGGGTGGGGTAGTCGGGGTAAAAGGGTAGGGTAGTCGGGGGAGAAGGGTGGGGTTAGTCGGGGGAGAAGTGTGGAGAAGGGCGGAGAAGGGCGGAGAAAGTGTGGTAGTCGGGGAGAGGTGTGGTTGAATCATATCAAACGACCCGAGCTACATTTAAAAAATAATCAGAATAGAGAGCAGAACAGACAAACTATAACTTTGAGTAAGGGTTGTAAGGAGGGGGTGGGATGTTGTTGAGCAGAAAAAGTCCCAAAAACCAAGTAGATGAAAAAGTAGACTGAGAATGGATCTCACCTTTCTTATTCCATAAACCCAATCAATACTAGCCGAGGCACGTAGCAACGGGTAACGATATCCTCGCAGACGATAAAGCCCTTTTCGAGCAAGGTCTCACAGTATCAATCTCACAGCAGTTAAAAATGAGAGGGCAAATATAATCGTTGTATCTTGCGATTGGCTCACGAATTAAGCCCGCGGCGGCGGCATAGTAAGTTTGCAAAACCAGCAATCGAACCGCGTAACGCTATCCGCGACTCGTCTTCTCGGGTAACGTTGAGTGTGTCGATCACTCCATCATCCGACACCGCTCCGCGATCGGATCCGGAAATAACTGCCGCCAAAAATGTGGTAGTCTAGAAACATGAAACTCCATTAAAAAGATCTCAACACTTGATTTAACTTCAACCAGAGCTATAATCTCTTCGCTCGGGGCTTACTTCGCCACGGATATCGCTCTCAAGACTAGCAAAGATCCGCTGCCTCCAGGGATCAATTGCAAGCAAGTATAGACTACCCAAGTACGAGGTCGCCGTCTCCATCCTCTGCCGTGGGAACAAAATTCATCTATCATTTTCAACGACGATGATGATGCGGAAAACATGAAATTGTAGTGATTATTTCTCGTATCGAACGTGAGCTTAAAGTCATTGCTGACTTTCAAAGTGCCTTCTACATGTTCTATGAGTTCTATCTACAGTCTAAAAAAGACAGCACCTGTGATCTTACCATATACATGTACCTAGGACCAGGGAGGTGAGACTTTAACTCACATGCCCTGCTAGGACCTAACTTTCTCTGTAAAAAACTTAGATAACGCCATCTTCATGTTATTGTTCTTGCACCTAACACACATTTTCTATATAATATACGGTATCTCCAACTTATAAACAACCATGCAATCGATAATCCATAATATGTCTGAAAGTCGTAAAATAAATTTTATAAAGAAAGCATCTAACCTGTTGGCTTACACAGTTATTTCGTTTTCAAACTAACATGCAAATCAGAGAATCGGATTTCATATTTGAGGATATACCACGTCATTACAACTAATGTGTTAAAATAATATTAGCGCTTAGAGACTTCGGTGGTGAGCGCTTTATAAGCACCGTTTTTATTATTTTTTATTACACGGTACAAGTAAAGAGGATGTGGCTACATTGAATCACGATTTCCCCCGAAATTCTCCACTTAAAACAATGCAGAATGTGAGTATGTTTCACTCGGGGTTGCCTGGGAAACATAACATGTTCATAAAGAGCTAAACACAAAATAAAATGATTGGGTTTATCAATTGAAAACAATCCGATATAAAACCAATCTATAATATTACAACAAGAGTTGTATATAGAGGCAATTAATTAAACGGACTTTTCTTCGACAAGGATGTACCAGGGTCCAGGGGAAATGGATAAGTGGTTATTCTTTAGTATGACAGTAAATAAATAAATAAATGAAAAATACATAAATAACTAAATGAGTAAACACTTAAGTACCAAAAAAAATATATTGTCTCATTCTTCGGTCACATCTATATGGTTTAAGCTTCTTCTTGCGTTATGGGAGATCATTATAATCATCATAAACATACTTTCAGTTTCAAAATTGTCAAATTTCATATTTGACAAGAACATCATGATCTCTTAGAAAACGAAAGTGATACATTAATGTCGAGGTTTAATTTGTGTAGACGTATCATAAATTACATCAATACAGCAAATTCGTTTGCTTGAAGATAAGTTAAAGGTTAATCGTAGCAATGAAATTCTAGGATCTCCAGCATTATTATCTCGATTGTCATATTATGCTCTTTGTATTGTTATTATCAAATGTACTATTGATATTATTATTTTATTCTTTTGACCAAATTTTCAAGAGTAACAGTTAAATCATAATACCACTTTACAGTAATTTCTCGATTTTGATATAGTTTACACTTTCTCCTGAAAACTAGTAATGGACATGTACGCCACATAATTGAAATGCAACAAAAAATTGGCATTGTCAAAGATAAATATCGTTGGTGCAAACTATTATGACATTTGCTAAATCCAGCAGATCTTTTCCTTGGCATAAGCACTAGTTATTGGATAGTGTTTGTTATCGAGTTTGTGATGACTGATGTTTCAGACGTGACTAGCCAATTACAGTCAACTGGTGGGACAGAAAAACAAATTTACTCACTCGGGAACTTCTCATTCAAATTAGGGTCTCGGACGTGTTGTTATTCGACGGTGACTGCATCTAAACTTAGTTTATTCTTGGTAAACAAGACAACCTGTAGATGGCTTGGATGTGGTTAATTAAGATATATATGGAGTTACATTCGAAGGGAATTGGGGTCTAATATTTCGGTGCCATGCATCACTTTCATGGGTGGAGACGAAAACAATGCTCCCGGAGGACTGGGCCGTACAAGTACAGAGAGACTTTGGATTAGAAAGTAAGGAGGAATGTGCCAATTTCACAGGGCCATTCCATCCGTTGGAAACTAAATCTACATATTTTGTTATTTATCAGTCACACGAGACAGCTATATGGGAATGCAATGGAAAATTGGTATCTACAGATTTATCCCCGTAATATTACTTCTGATTAGTCGCTTCCATTTTAATAATCAACGTGTGGCATATACTAGTCAACAAGTTGATATTTTAGTTCAGTACTTTTTGATACAAAACTATTTTGGTAATGTAGACATGTTTGAATTTGGCAACTATCATGCAGCATATTTATTAGCTTCTTGTACCTTTATTATTCATTATTTATCACTTTCTTGGGGTATTTGTTTTTAATCCCTTAGATTTAAGAGAACCAAGATAAATGTTAAATGTTCGCAAAAACAACTCGATGAGTAATTCGTAAATGAAATTCCATCACATCGTCACCTCTTTATATTATTGGTTGGAGTAAATTCTTAAAATGCAGTATCAAATTTTGAGTATTTCCTTTCAATTTACCTTTAGGGGATGTATAATAATACTGGAAATAAGCATCATGGTGAAAAGACCTGATAAAACAAATCAGGTCACGGGTAAAACAAAAACAGCACGTCTCAAAGCTGAGCAAGAAACGATTCGAAAAATCTATCATCGAAATTGGCATCACCTAGCAGGCACCTGACACCTGAAAAACCATCGAGAAAACAAATCGGAAAGACGTGACATAACCCAGTTTAGGTAGACAGGACACAATCTATCCAATATCTTGACATTCAATAAACCTAAAATATACATGTCACAAACATGTGTAACCCTACTCCCCGTGTCTCTTTCCTGATAAGCAACGCTAATGAAATAGTTTGATGTCGGAGATTGAAAAGGGTACAGAATCTATCTTTATTAGATTCTTATCAAGTCGATCTGTCATCCTGGTATCATCACATCACATCTCTTCCTTCCAAATTAAAGTGTGGGGGAGATAACCAGTGCCTCTATGAAACATTTCCGATCATGGTGAGACATCTTCATAAAACTATTAATTTAATACCGGAGTATATTTCTATATCAGTTCGAGATACCTGCGTTGAAAGGTCTTTCAATAACTCAATCTATTGAAATAAAGATTTATTTCACTCATCTATATTGAAAACAAATTGATAGTTATGGAGTGCTTTTTTCAGCTATAAAAGGCTCGATTGATTTGTTTAGCAAGATAGACAAGACAGGAGAAGAGAATTATGATCAGAGGCTGTTTAAGAGAAAAATGCAGGGTAGCAACTGACGAGTTGGGAAAAATAATATTACGAAGAATGAAAGAGAGAGAGAGAGAGAGAGAGAAGAGAGAGAGAGAAGAGAGAGAAGAGAGAGAAATCGTATTCGAACTATCAAAGCCTGCAAAGCATCCCCAAAAGCAGATGAGAGGAGATTGTTCATGACAATTTGGTCAGGTACGTGCAACCGAAAAGACTTGATATTATCATTATGATTCTCATAGTAGATGACAAAGGACAATTTTATAAAATATTGTGCGTTTTCTCGTTTTATCTTGAATTATGGTTGCTGCTTTGAAGATATTGTACACAATTCTTATCCAACTGGAAACTTTTAAAAAAATTAAATACTAACCTTTAAGAAAGTCTAAATGACATGACAATTTTTAAGGTGTTTCCAGCACTTTCAATAACAGGGAAAGATTTGTTTGTGACGTCAGCTCTGACGTTTCGTGACAAGGTCTTGATAATGGTCCGGTTGTATTGATTATTGCTTCATGGTCTACTCACCGCTTGGTGTTCGTTTAGAATTTCATCGCCGAATTGTACAAATAACTCGCGTATTATATATATATATATATATATGGAAATACCGGAGGTTCGGTTTTCCGGTTATGGATGTCGGAAGCCGAGAAGCGTTGAGAATGATGACCTAGGGAGTTGTTAA